ACTTTGTAGAACTTATGAAAGCTCCTCGAACGCCGGTTCGAAGTCTGCGATGGCACGGCTGGCATCCTCGCACGGGGACATGTGTGAGTGTGGCGGGCGGGGTGGCGCCAGGACATTGACATACAAACGCACATGCGCATTCCACTGTATGACAATGACATGCCGACAGGGCTGGAGAACTCACTCCTGTATCTGTACCCTACAGGCAACCATGCAGGCACACGAGGTCTCCGTTGACCGTTGTCTACTTGCCAATTCTACCATCGCACCCAAGACCAGCGAAAAACAAGACAAGGGCTGCGCAAGGGTCTAGGGCGTGACCTCTTTGAACATTGCCAACAAGGGATTGGTGAGAAGCAGGGAACTCGGGACATGCTAGATTCTAGATAGACTGCGCCCATGACTGTGCTTCTCACGACGGCTCAGTAATCTGACGCGGCAGGTCGCACCCGACGTCAGGCAAGCTGGTAGAAGACGGAGGCAATCTTCCACTTCGGCAGTGTCTCAGGTGCCCTGCAGACACTGAGTAAGATACTCTGCTTTCGTCGTCTGAGTATGCTGAGAAATTGTCCCCGCCTGACAGACACACTTAACAGTTCACGAGCCGACTGCGCTGTAGCCGGCCTGCTTGAGAATGTATCCAAAAGCTCGGTCAGAAAAATAACATGTCCGAACTCACAAGACGCAAACACCTTCGCAGCGAGCACCCGATGCAGAGGGTGACACGGGAAGTCTGAAGCATTGTGAAGAGATGGCCCTCCTGAAAACGGACAGCAACCCACCTTGGTGCGTAAGCCAAAGTTCATGTCTCGAGACAGGTTTCAGGCAACGAGTGGCTGTTGCCAGTTTTGCGGCTTGTATTGACTGACACCCGGCCCCCCCCCAAGAAATTCCCATGGAAAGCCTTGCAATCTTCGTGCATCCGTAGCACCTAGCCTGTGCGCAGCTCTGAACAAGGTGCGCAAAAGTCACTTGGACTGTGACCCGCCTTTTTCACCCATCACCTCGCGAAGAGAACAGTGCATGCCGCGGAAGCAGCAAGTCCTCGAACTGACAATTGCAACAAAGTCAGCAACAAGCAAGAGCCAGCAGAACTTCCAAGACCAGCGAATGAACGCTCAGAGATAACATAAAAAGCCGTTACGGTCCTGTCAAGGGCTGACTGCGACTTTCTTCTCTTGGTGGTGCACGGGACCTGTCTTGACACCATTTGTACGTCTTGGCAATTGTGTGGCCCATGCTGACCACTTGTCGGACCATGAGACTACTTGGTGCTTGCTACCGCTGTAGCTGCTGATACTACGATGGCGATGAACATGCTGTTTCTGGTTATCGATACTTCCATTCCATCCACCGGTGATAGCATGCAGGCATCTGTCCAGTCATCACGATATCGCACACGCACTTTGAAAGCAGACAGGGGAATGATCAACAGGCAGCCTTCAGCCTTAAGCAAGGCCCACCTGGCTGGAACGGCGGCGGCTTTGACTGCCTCCATGCAGGGCAGAGCATGCTGCATCTTTCCTGCAGGGCGGTGTGATCGCCCCACCTTGGGTCTCTGTTCTGACTGGTCCATGAAAGTATGCCAACTGTTCCGGCTGTCGCCCTTGCCTTTCCTGCGGTGAGTCCATGTATCTGGACTTGGCGTCTCGTGGCTGTGGACACAGTAAGAAGTAGCTCAGCAGCGATCCATCGAGCGAAATGAACTTAGCCTCATTCGAGACCTGTTTTTGGCCAAAACCGCACGAATCGATTCAGCACTAGCACTCTGGTGCTCAGCTCGCTGCAAAACTTAGGTGCGCACCTTTGCCACCGAAAGCCAATGCCGAAACACGAAGCAGGATTTCCAAGACAAAACAGTAGTGATTTTGTAATTATTATTGTCGTACTCCAAGACATTCTTCCGCCTTATCATGATTCTACACGCACTTTCTCCTTTCGTTGAGTGACCTTTCAATGATCTGGTTGTCTGGGCTCGAAAGGTGCTGCACATGTCCAAACTCTGCGGTCATCAAACTTTGCCACTCCATTGTTAGAGATGCCTATGATGTCTTGCCGCTTTCTTGGCCCCAGCAGGTTCGGGATAGTCGGACTATGCTCAGCCCGGTAGCATTTTTGATAACCCGTGGGGTGTACGCTATGACAGAAACATGATTCCTCAAGCCTCGAACCTGCTAGGACCTCGCTGGAAGGGTCTCCGAGGCCAAGCGGCAGGTCAAAACCAATCTCCTAAGGGTCAGCCCCACAAAAAAAGTTGCACTGGCATGCCGTGATTGACCGGCAAGCAGAACTCTTCTGCCAACGAGATCTTGTGAAACTGCAACTACGCCTTTGAGATATTGAAAAGCTGTCACGCAACCGGGCACCGGGAATTTCTCAGGCGTCTCCACACAGAATGTTGGATATTGCGTTGGTCCACCTACCCCGGAATCCCAGCTGGCTCTACTTTGACGAGCTCCGGGGCAGTGTGTAGGTTACGGAAATCTACGGAATGCAACAGCCCAGGCAAAAGGACAAGAGTGACTCGCATCTTGTTTCCTGTCGTTGAGACGAATAAAGCTAAAGCCCAGCATCTTCCTCTGGATTCTCGTTCTATCCCATCTGCTCCGGCCACTCTCCGATCAAGTCGACAACGGCGGTGTGTCTTGAAACGCCGTCAATTATGCACACGTGCTATCAGATTTCAATTGGCTCCGCTCACGTCCGATCACTTTCGATTCCGGTGGGCTTGTCCCTGCTCGGCTTAAGGGGTGTCTAACTCTGGGTTGGAGGTGGAAGACTGGCTGAGGACCAAGCCCTCAACCCTTCAGCCTCGTTGTCCTGGCCGGTTTGGGAGAGCAGCACACAACCAGCCTAACCAGACATCTGCAAGCCCCAAACCAAACCCAAAACCTCACATCCACTGAAGCATCCAGATGATGGCTGGATTCTCTCAAGATGTCACATGCAGTCCTAATGAAGGGATGCGCAGAGCAGATCTTGGGTAGCCATCCTGCATCATGGACACGCACACACTTGTGTAGATAGATATATATTTATATATAGATACATATAATATACATACTGCAAACGCAAAAACATGTATATACACTCGTATCCACACATGCATGTGTACATCTATGTATGCGCCACGCTCAAAATTCCTGGCTCGGCGAAGGGACATCGATCTGCGAGATATCGTTTTCTGCATGTCCCCTATCGTTCTGCAGATCAAAACCCAACTGGAGATGCCTTGTTTCGGCTCGTGGCTGAATTGTGCTCGCTTATAGTACGCCTGTAGTACTCACAGACAGTCTAGCTCTTCAGAGAGAACCGCCAGTCGGAGTCGCTCACATGCACACGCACGTTATCGTTTTCTGCGTGTCCCCCATCGAACTGCAGATCAAACCACGATTTACTCATAGTTATTTGTGTGTATGCAGGCAGGCAGGCAGGCAGGCAGGCAGGCAGGCAGGCAGGCAGGTAGGCTAGGTAGGCAGGTAGGCAGATGTGTATTTCATGTGTATATGCATGCACGTAGGTAGTAGACAGGCAGGCAGGTAGGTATAAGAGACGCTCATCATAACGAACCCAACACTGGAATGTAATGTTTCTGTACATCTCTGATGTTCTTCCCCAAACTGTGTTGCACACACTTTGGGATTACAACGTAGGGTAAAGAGGGTTTGTCTGTGTCTGCACGAAGCGTGCCCGTTACCGACGCGGCTCCCAGTGGTGCTGTGCACTTTTTGCACTCATGTTTGTTGTGATTAACACTGGATCCGTCGAAGAACAGGCAGATCCACAATGCATTTGCAATGCTTTGGCCTGGAATCCCGGCAGTATAGGGGTGAAGCTTGCTGGTCATGTCTCTGAATTCTGCAGCTTTGTGGGGAGGGGGTTCCTGCTAGTATGTCAGGGGGAAGCCGCACACCTCTCTTTTCACGTGTCCGCGCAATGTATTCAAATCACGGGGTGTCTCCGGTGTATCTGTATGTCTACTCGATGTGCGTCTCACAAACATGTATATATAGATAGATAGATGGATGGCTAGATAAATAGAAAGAATACTTGTCGAGGGATCCCTGTCCAACTGTCTCTCTTTCGTTCTGACTGGCACTGAGCACTTTGGGGACCCTCGAGGCGGCAGTCCCCAACTGGCCGTCCTTGAATCTGGTCGGCGAGGCTGCGACGGAAGCAGAAGGGTTGCTGGCACTGGCAGGTCGAACACAGGACGGTCCCGCGATTGCCAAGCAAGACTTCCCTTCAACATACTTCAAGTTACTTCAAGTTTCAACTGCCTCCAGGCCATGGAGCTCAGCAGGCCCCGCTCCTCCTTGGGACATGGGTCTTGGAAATTTTGGCTTCCTCTCTGTCTAACACTGGCCTCTGTGGGGCGATCTCGGCCACCACAGTGACAGCCCACCATCCTGGCTACAGCGCGATGCTGGTATCGGTAGCTGGGCTGGGTCTCAATCTGGGCTCTCCGCTCAGAGAAGATGCGAGTCCTCAGCGTGCATCTGCACATCCCTGTCCACTAGGCTCCCTGGCTCTTAGCAAGGGAATCGGGGAATGGATCCCTATGATAGTCCCTTAAGGTCCCCTACAGTAGTCCCATAAACCCATTCCTCCATTCCCTACAAAGAACCAGGGAGACGAGGGTCCTGAGTCTCGAGTTTGGGGACCTGGCGGGCCTCACTGCCACTGACTAAGGTACCACAGCTGGTGCTTGGTTCTTCTTTACTCTTAGGGGCCTTAATGATTAGAACAGGGTTTTGGGGTCCTTTTTTGTATCATTCTAAAAAGGAACCCCCTAGGCCCAAAATCATCGAGGTAATTACCATTGAGGCCCACGTATTACGCCAGCTCCTGGTGCAGGGTCAAAGGCTGGGTAAGCAGACCCTTTTCCACAGGCTTGAACTGAGCTCGCCCGGCCAAATGCTTACCCTAAACCCTAAACCCCTAAAGCCCTAAAGCCCTAACCCCTAAAGCCCTAAACCCTAAACCCTAAACCCGAAGCCCTAAGCCCCAAAGTGGAGGCCGACTTTTTTCGATGCTTTGCCGATCTTCTCTGCAAGCCCCTGCAAACTGGAGACTGTCAGGTCGGCCTTGCGATCCTTCGCTGCATGTTGGGAAATGGTCAACTTCTCACTGTATCATATATTATATATGATATATTAGATATGATATATAATATATATTATACATTATATATTATATATCATATATTAATATATATTGTATATTGTATATTAAATATTATAGAGTAAAGATTAGATATTATATGTTATATTATGTATAATGAGCACTCTAGGACTGTAGGAAGGTGCTTCTACGATGCACTCTGTGCAAAACCGAGCCAAGTGTCCGCTCCAGCAGCACGCGCAGCAAGCTCTGCAGCGGAAGTCACCGAAAAGCGATTCTCCGCTTTTCCAGGCCGACTTACCAGCACGGTCCTGCCAGAAGTGGTTGCTTTGAGGCTTGGATGCTCGGTCACGAGGGTTTTTTGCCACACTCAACATCAGAGCTGCTTATATGCGACTCTCACAGGCTCCGGAGGCCGACGCGAGCAGCAGCGCTGACATCCGTCGCTGGATCGTCGCCCACATGCCACCATGACCTCGCCATCTGAGAACTCAGAGCCAAGCACGCCGAAATGCAGGGTGTCTGAGCTGAACCTTCTGGATTCTGAAGGGTATCATGTCGTTTGCTGCAACGCATGCAGCTGCAGGCAAGGTGCTGAAGGCTGCCACTCCAGCCCAAATCTCGTGCTCTCGCAACAGCCGCTTCGAAAATGACCGGAGACGGTTTCCGGTGAGGGAAGATGGCGTCCTAGACCACAAAACAGTGACCTCACGTTATTGAAGCCGGCTGCAAAGCTTCAGAATTTCTTCGCTGTTCTAATTACTATTACTATTACTGAGTGTATGTGTATATATATATATATTATTGATGTATTCATTTATTTATTTGTATTTATATGTATATTTATGTTGATGATTGTATTTATACTTATACTTATACTTATACTTGTATTTACTGATTGATTATACATAACAACTAGAGTGCCTCATTCGATCCCCCAGTCCTCTTCACCGGAAGCACAAAAAGAAAAGAAGGGAGCCAACTTTGCGATCTGCTGCGGGTTGCTAGCACCGTTGGTGATCGCCCCAATGATGGCCCCAGAAGCTAATAGGCCTTCCTGAAGAAGCAGTCATCATTCTAGTGTATGTATATATATATATATATGTACGTATGTTTGTTTGTTTGTATGTATGAATGTATGCATGTATGCCTGTATGTATGTACGTAAGTAAATGTTTATTTATCTATATTAATTATATATATATATATTGTGATTCTGTGCGACTAACATATATTCTGTATTACTTTTTCAAACATTGAGCATGCAACTAGATATAATACATACATGCAGACATGCATCCATCCATCCATGCATGCTACCGAGGCATACTTCCAGGTCCTTCGTACATACAAATTCAAGCATGCTTTTATATGTTGTACGAGTGTCCGTATGTAGGGAAAGCTCGGCAGATTAAACAATCTGAACGGAGGCTAGCTAGCGGCTAGCAAAAATGTCTTCCTTCTTGTTCAGGGTTGTGCCGATGCTTTTTCAACGCACTTCGGTGTGGGAAATGCTCCTCTAGCTCAGGAGCTTCATTTGGCCAGGCATCGAGGCTTTCCAGCACATCAGGGTAGAGGCAGGATGCCGCTGCATCACCCCTTGCTCGGATCCACTGCTTCAGAATGCGTTCCTCGCTGTCTCACACTTAGTCACAGAACGTGCTTTGCATTCAACGTCACGCAACATGGCCAGAGTCTACTATACTCTTGTCAGACAAGGGACTGCCGAACGTCTGTCACCTCCTAGGAGTTCCTGGCGAGCAGTTGCAAGCAAGTTTCAATAATTGGGGCCCAACCACGTCGAACCACAAGCGGGGGTATGCCGGAAGGTCGAACATCGAACATCAAAGAGCAAATCGAAAAGTATCAGCTTTATTTTGTAAGTTACTCGCCATGGTGGCAGTGATACATCAATACATCTATCGGACGTGAGCTCCTCGTAAGCTTGACGACGTAAGCAGGTGTAGCTGGCATTTGCCCCTGCAGGGGTAGATCGGATTTGGCGCATCGCAGCCATCACCTTCGAGCTCTTAGGGTGTAGGCTTTACGCTCTCGCAACTCGGACAAGCCAGGCGAGGTTTAGGCTTTAGGGTTTAGGGTAGGGTTTAGGAAGTTTAGGGTTTAGGGACCCAGGAGAACAAAAAGCCACTTTGGGTCTTTGTCAGTCTTCGTTCTAGCCTGACAGTTGGCACTTCTTCTGCCACTTTTGCGGAGCTGGAATGGGCTTCTGAATATGTTAGTTTATGTCTGTGTATACACAAACATACCTGTGCTCTTTCATGGTTAGAACTAGGCATATCTAAGCTAGATGCTGCTTGGGAAAGCACCATGGCAAGCGGATGTGGCACGCTTGGTGGGGATCGGCTAGAGCCTAGAGCAACAACACGAAGGCAGCGCGTCAAGGGCTACAGCACGGGCCTAGTCTAGCATAGGAGGCTAGGACGGCTAAGAACCACAGACAAACAGCAGAACAAACACCACAAGCTCTCCCGAAAGCTGTGAAATGAAGCGTATCTGGCAGGACAAAACCTGCCCCTCCGCTGTTATGGATGCCGTGCTTTCTCAGGCGCGTCATCAGCAGCCAACAACTTGTTGTCCCTTGCCACCTCGCCGTTGGCCTGAGTGCGAGGCAACTAGGCGAGGCTGCGACCTTAAAAGCTGTGAAGCCTTCCCACCGTCCAACAGTCCTGATTAACCACGTCCACCAGGGGCCAGAGAGTATCATCCAGGTCGAAGGAGATGACGATCCCATTGCCTGCCCGGCATCGGCTCCTGGCACTCCGCAGCCGTCGACAACAACACGTCTGCAACATCGGAGCGCACAGAGGCCTCCTGCAATGCCAAAGCTGCTTGTGTCATGTTGCGATGCCAGAAATCACGAGTCGCTGCAAATAGATTGAGGCAGATTTGAGCAACGGCCCTCCCGCTTGTCCAGCACTCTTTTGACGGAAAAACGACAGCTCCTGCAATTTTGCAGGGCATTTGAACTTCGGGTCTGCAGGGTTTCGTTGCAAACTCTCGGACCAGGCGAGGTGCCTGGTGCTTAGTCGGTTGGAGGCGAAACCTACACCTCGAGCTTGGTTTCAACTCGAGCTGCGGTGGCTCAACAGATCCGAACACGAAGAGTAGGAGGAGCCTAGTGTTGGGACCCAAGCAGAGATGCACGGCCTAGCAGGTTAAGCAGCAGGGTGCCTGTGTACTTCTAGGCTCCTCCAGCGTGACATGGATGGTGAGATAAACCAACTGTCGGCTTTGGGTTGCAGTACAGCCCTCAGAGTATCATAAAGGCTGGGACGCCTAGGCAGAGTCAGTCAGCTTATCTGCGAGACCTACTTGAACAAGACAACCTTGGATGCTCTCCTACCTTCTCAGGCCGACCGTTGAACAAAATTGGAATATTGGGTGAATACAAGTATGTGGCAAATGTCAGGTCAAGAAGGCCGGCCTATTGATGAAACGATGATGCCAGGAAACAAGACACTTCTTCCATTTCTTAAGTAGATGACAAGTCCAGCATATCTAAGATTGTCAATGGCTGCCTGGTTTGACTTTCAAATCCCTACGGCATTGCTGAGCTGCAGTATAGCCAAGTTCGTACCACTGGTATTTCTTCTATCCAAGTCCATGGAAGATCTCATGCCGGTCGCCAGTTCACGTGCTACAACAAGTAGCTCCACTTGGCGTACGCCGGTCGAGAGGAAAGCATCATTGGCAAGTGAGTGGCTTCCGATGCTATCCCTCTATAGGCAATCGATCTCTCAGGCTTGCTCATCCATGTGGTTGGTGTCGCTTTGCTGTGCCGCTTTCACAGAGCAACCGGCCATGCAAATCTCGGAAATCCCAGAGACTCAGTAATGCTCGGAATAAATTGATGTACAGTCGTCCTCCGGATCAATCAAGACAGCTGATGTCGATCTTCTCTGCTCTTCAGCAGCTTCACCGTGTGCACTGTCTCTCAAGCCTGCCTGGGAGTTTCCCAGCTCGACGGAGTGGAGCTCCTCCGGATCGTCAGCCAAGGTCACAGAGACCAAATTCTCGCTGGCCACTTCCACCTCCTGCACATCCCCTGGTTCGATTCATCTGCCTTTTGAAGCCTCATCCTCCAGCTCGTCTTCGTTGCCATCCTGCTCTGACTCTTCATCCGCAAGCCAGTCGTTCTCGATCTTGTGTTGCACCTTTCGACTGCAGCAAATTGCGAAACTGGCCAGCGTGGCCAGAATCAATGCCATGGCCAGCGGGACAAGGATGAGATCCTGCAAGAGACTCACACAACAGCTTTCCAACCATTTGATGGCATCCTGCAGACTGACGTTCGCAAGGAAGAGCAGAACATAGATGATGCTGAAGCCTGCATGGCAGCTCCAAGCGCTCCAAAACACAAACGACTTGCATCGCCACTTCATCAATATCTTTGTCTTTTCACTCGAGTTCCACTCGTTCTTGTCCACGGCAGATCGACTCTGGAGGATGAACAAAGCAAAGATGACCAGATCGCCGAGCAAGGCCGAGATGATGCCAACGGTGGCCGTCTGGACCATGCTTGCCAGCAAATCCGTAGGTGGCTGGCAGTCTGGATCTGAATCTGGAGTTGTGGAAGAGCTTGAAAGAAGAGCGCGCCAACAGCAGCTGCGCTTGTCAGCTTTGTGATGATCAGGGCCGCGCGCACGGCGTGGGAGGTGAAAAGGCTAAATCTGACCGTCTCCAACCATGGGTGCAGCGCGGGGAACAGGAGCAAGATTCGCTTGATCCACGTGCTGGAGAGAAAGCTCTCCACAGCTTGTGCCCCATGCTTCTTCATCTCCTCGTAGGGAAGAAGCCCGTTGCTGTGAGCTGATTTCAAGCCACTGTCCACAGTCGTGATAACCGACGAACTCAACTCTCGGAGGAGGCCTGGTCTTCTCCTCTGCGTGTTGGACGACTTGTCTTCATTGCTGGGCATTGCCGACGTCATGCTCATGGAGCGGGAGAAGGTCTTGGACAGCTTTTTGACACCGTCGATGCTGTCTCTGGAGGTTCCGGTCTTGTGCGCATGGATGGTGGTGATACATCGATTCACGGTGGAGACCGGGGCGTTGGGAAGGAACTCCTTTACGACCTCAGCCAAGTTTTCGTATCCGAAGAGCAAGCCAATGAACCACAGTGTCCAGTCAACAGCCGCCCCTATGAAGCTTTTGATGCTCTCCCAGCACGTTTTCGGCTCCTCCGGAGGCAGCTCCTCAATCAACTGTGCAACTGTCGTCCTCTTGCGCAAGAGAACAGGCTCCTTCTTCTCCCAAGGGATTGCTTGGTTGGCACACCGATCCATGCGTAAAGCACAGCCGAA